AAAGGGAAGATCTTGGAACACCGCACCAGACCATCGAGGACACGGGAACGGGACTTTTTACTCCGAAACATGTGAATCACTGGTTGCTGCTCTAAGCCAATCCGCTATTATCGACTAATGCAAGAAGCAATGAGAAATGGGGATCACATGGAGAAGTGACATGGCATTCGTGAACCTTAATACAAACATGCGCACAGACGCGGCGTGAGCAATCTGCCGAGAGGGTACCTCTTCTCCATCTCCCAGCAATTCTTCAGCTCTTTCTCGGTCATCGACGCCTGCATCCTGCTGCCTCGTTTTAGCTTCCTCGCCCACTGCATCCAGTATTTCACACACGACTGCTCGTAAGGGCAAGGAATAATAATAATTTGCCAACGCAAGGGATGCCCGTGCGAAGATGCGTTTTTTGCACAGCTCCCCGCAGATTTTTGTCGCTAATGGCATTCGTTCTTCTGGCAGATGCTTCTAGCTAAAAGAATTTCAGACTGGCCGCCAGGACTACCAGGAAAAATCCTTTCAAAATTCCAGTTTTCCAGCTTCTTAGGTTCCCGAATTATCAACTTACTCGGAAAAGACTTACGTGGGTACCACGAACACTCGGAGGTTGGATTTGAGTTCATTGATATCCACTTGGATAGGGAATATCCTCTTAAAATTCCAATCCTCTAGTTTCCCAGGTTCCCGAGTTAACAACTTACTCGAAAAAAATTTTGGCGGCCCGTGCGTGGGTACTACGCATATCCGGGGGCTGGGTATGAGTTCAATGAGACCTAGGTGGGCGGGGAACATCCTCTTAAAATTACAGTCTTCCAGCTTTTCAAATTCTCGAGTTAGCAACTTACCCGAAAAAAATTCTGGCGGGCTTATACGTGTGTGCCACGCATGCCCGGAGGCTGGGTTTGAGCTCGGTAATACCTACTTGGACGGGGAACGTCCTCTCAAAATTTCAGCCTTCCAGCATTTCTGGTTCCCGAGTTAGCAGCTTACCCGTAAAAAACTTTGACGGGCTCGTACGAAGGTACCATGCGGGTAAGGGCGCCCATTTTGAGGACTGGGGCCCGAACGTGCATGCAGATTAAGTTCCCCAAAATTTCAGCCCTGTAGCTTTTATACGTCTTGGGATGAAAAATCGGTACAGACGCACACAGATACTTGGACACGCAAACACACAGATACACGGACACACAGACAAC